CAACCTTGGGGGTGGGGTCAATGAACAGTCTTGGGGGTGGGGTCAATAAACAGCTTTGGGGGTGGGGTCAATCCACTAATGAACAGTGAGGGCTAAATGCGATGCATAAGCGTCTCTTGCCAATGGCTGCCCCTGAGAGGCCGGTTCCCCATCCCGGCCTGTCAGTCCCCATCACCTATAGCTTACAGCATCTCCAACAGCCTAGGCTGTAGGGAAAGGGCCCCCACGCCCACCTGGTTGTCTGGAAGGGACTGAATGCTCAGTGTTCCATTCTAATATAATTTTCAAACTTTTAAAATTTTTAAACATTAAAAAAATGGTATTTTTATTTTTTATTTTTGAGTAGGAATCTCACTCTGTTTCCCAGGCTGGAGTGCAGTGGAATGCTCACAGCCACCATAGCCGCAACCCGCTGGGCTCAGGTGATCCTTCCGCCTCAGCCTTCCAAGTAGCTGGAACCACAGGCCTGTGCCACCATGACCGGCTAATTTTTTGATTGATTGTAGGAGACAAGGTCTCGTCAAGTTGTGCAGGCTGGTCTTGAACCCCTGGGCTCAGGCAATCCTCCCGCCTCTGCCACCCCAAGTGCTGGGATGACAGGCGTGAGCCATTGCACCCAGCAAAAATGTAAATTTTTTTAAAAAGGTGTCTTAGTAACTGTCAAACCCCTGGCTTCCCCTCCTTTTCACTTGCGAAACTCTGGACCACCTAACAGACCCATTCTGAGAGGCCGGCAGTCCACCCCCAGCAGCAAGTGGAGCCGCCGGAAGCTTAAGGTCCATTACGGGTTTCTGCTGGGTTTGGGTCTTGAAATCTTCCCCAATCCTCAGACACTCCCGTGGTCAGCTGGACTTGAGCAGAGATGAGCCTTTCTCTGACAGCTTTGGCAATGACTCAGCCAGCCATTAGTGAAATATATTTCACGGTCAAATTTTGAAGCAAATGCAGAAATCGCTCAGGAGTACAGACGTGATCTTCTTTGTGTTGTTTCATAAGCTAATATTTCTTAATAAAAATTTGGGGTAAGTAATTGACTTTGATCAGCAAGAGTAGACTTGCTAATCTAGGAGGACATGCTTGTCCTAAGAACATTTTTTTTTCCTTTGAAGACAGGGTCTTGCCTCGCTCTATTGTCCAGGCTGGAGTGCAGCAGCTCGTTGCAACTTTGAACACCTGGGCTCAAGCCATCCTCCCACCTCAGCCTCCCGGAGAGCTGGGACTACAGGCATGTACCACGATGCCTGGATAATTTAACTTCTTTTTTATTTTTTTTGTAGAGACAGGGTCTCCCTATGGTGCCCAGGATGGTCTTGAACTACTGGGCTCAAGGGATCCTCTCACACCTTGGCCTCCCAAAGTGCTGGAATCACAGGCATGAGCCACCGCACTCAGCCAAAACAATTTTTTTTAAAGAAAACTTTGCACAATTCAAATTACTCAACTAGACTGGGTGGAGAAGAAGTTTTATTCTTCCTGAAGTGCTACATTCATCTCCTAATTTTAGTAACTCGTTCATTTCTTTTTGGCATCCTCTAAATAGATGGTAAACAAGTCATAAATGTGCTTTGTTGTATTTGGCAAAGATCCTCATGAGAATAACTGCTGTAGGTAACACTACTTGCAAGCCAATCCAGACAAACCATCGATGACTCCTCTGCGTCTCGGCTCTGCTCCGTTCAGGCTCTCCATACTGGTGCATCAGGGTAGCACCAGCCCCCATGTCTTCACACTTCTCTGTCTCCAGTCCTTGCAGAGGGTCCTCTGGCCTTGACCATGCAACTTGCTTTAGCCAAGAGGACAGCAGCAAGTGTGACACCAGCAGAGATTTGAGAAAGGTTTGCACCTTGGGCTTTTTTTTCTTACTGCTCTTGGGACCCAGGAACCATCTATGAGAAACTCAGGTCTGGCCTGCTGGAGGTGTGGAGAGGCCATGGCTACCTGGGCAGCTCCAGACAAGGCTGGCATCAACAAGTCAATGCAGCCTAGTCATGCCAGCTCATACCAGAAGAACCACCCAGCTGAACTCAGCCCATACTTCTGACCCACCCAAATCACACACTGAAGAAATGGTGGATGCCTTAAGCTACTATGCTTAGAGTGATTTGCTATGGAGCAAGAGATGACAAATCCACATGCCCCAACCCTTTTTCTTACACAGGCTGAACTCCAGCCCTCTGCTCCTCCCACCTCTTTCCGAGGAACCAGAAGTTCCTGGAAGAAAAACACTGCCCGTTGCTTGACTTTAGTACAACATCTGCATATCTAATACGGACGATCCTGCCTTCCTCCTCAAGTTACTTCTTCTTCCTGATTCTCGGACCCCACGCTCTGTTCTCCTATCCTCTGTCCTGATACGGTCCAGTCTTCCTTGGTGATCCATTCTCCTCTCCTAGAGGACATCCCCAGGTTCTGTGCTTGGATCTCATCTTTTCTGTCTGTACTCTCCTGGGTGATTTCTTCCAGCCTCACAGTATAACCAAGCACGTTTCTTCTTCTCCCTGGTCCTCTCCTAAGTCCAGAGCCACGTGGTTAGCTGAGTCTGTGTTTCCACTTGTATATCCAAGGGCAACTCACAGGGAACACGCCCACATCCAGACCCTTGATGGTCCCCTGAAAACCACCTGTTCTTTGGCCTTCCCAATACATCAGTGACAAAGGCACTCCTCGGCACATCCCATCAGCTCTTCCTTCAACACCTCTCAGACTCCAAATACTTCTTGCACGCCATGGTAGGTCCACACCGCCCTCTCGCTCCTGATTATGGCAGAAGCCTCCTAACGGGCCTTCCTGCCTCTGCTCTGCGCCTGACAATCTCTTCGCCACACAGCAGCCAGAGTGAGCCCTTAAGACCGCAAGTCACACCACGCCACAGCTCCTCTCAAAGTCCCCCAGTGACACCCATCTTTATTCACAATAAAATTCCAGGTGCAGATTTTGGCCTGTACAGCCCGGCCGAAGTGATCCCCTCGGGCAAGCTGTCTGACCCCCGTCACCCCTTCTTCCTCCTGGCTCACACCCCAGCCTCCTCTGCCTTCTGGCTCTTCCTTGAGCTCACCGAGTGGTTCCTCCTCTGGGCAGTGCACACGCTGTTCCGCCTGCTTGGAGCAGTCCCCCTGCAGACGGCCTAGCGGATGACACCTCACTTCTGCCGGGTCTACCTCAAATGCCGGCCACCAAGGAGGTCTTCCGTGGCTTCCTGTCCATGGCAGCACGGCGCCCCTTGTGCCCCTCTGCCCGCACTGTGCTTGGGTCTCTGTACCCACCACCACGTGGCCTAGAAACAGGCCGACCCCATCTGTCTCTCTGCCTGTTTACCGTCTATCTCTTCCCACCCAACTGGAGGTTCCCAAACAGCAGGAACTTGGCCTTGTCCACTGCAGTCTCCCCGTGCCTGGCAACGAGCCAATGATAAAGGGGGTAGGGAAAGGAGGGAGGCAGGGACGCTGTAGCTTTTGCAGCCTTGGGCAGGGAGAGGGTCTGGCAGTGGGTGTCGGGGCGCCACCAGCAGGGCCGGCCCTGGGCTCTCTGCCTCCTTCCAAGGCGACTGCAAAGTCCTCCTAACGTGTCTCTCGTGCACACTGCCATCGGTGTCCTTCTGACACACAGGCTGGACATCACTGTCTTCTTAAAGCATGATCTGAGGCTCCCCAGGGCCTAGAGGATGAAGGGTGCACTCCTCAGCTTGGCACTTGGGGCTTTCCAGTCCTCATCTGTCTTCTGGTTTCATCCCTTGCTGTGCCAGCTGCTGTGAATCAAAACTCTAGGAATGTGCGCCCTGCAGAGGACACGCCTGTCACTCTTCCCTCCCCGCTCCCTCAGCCCGGATGCTTCATC